ACGCAGTGTCTCGTTCCCTACTCAGGGAACCATGGTTACATATGTAACCTGAGACGTTTTATGTGAGGTGAATATTTAAGTCGTTAAATTCAAATTTTCATAAACTCTTCTCTCTGCTGCGGCTGTCTGTCATCCTCCATTCAGTATTTGTATTTTTCTTACAAACACCTGTTGCTTCACTGATTTGACTGGCTTGATTCATCCACTGAGGCTGAATGGATTATCATGATGACCATATGTGCTTTTAAGGAGTTCAAATTCACTTTCATTATATGGACTCACAGAGGAGGATTATTGTTCTTTGCATTCATCTGAAGAAACAGTCAAATACACCTGGGATGCAACTTGGCGCATCAATACAGAATTCAGCTGATTCACAGGTGTGCATATCGGTTTCGAATGTGGTTCATCCAATCGCAATTTATTACATTATATCAGCAGTGTTTCGGTACTAACATCTGTGGAAAACACCTTAGCTGGAGAATCAAATGAAGTGTAAATACACAGCAGAGCCGAGGCACACGCATCTCTCCAGAGAGACAGGACAGCGCGACACAGCTGAGACTGATGCCTACAGATGTGCTACACACACAAGAGGTTTTCAAGAGCTCACCGGATGACGTCCTTGTGTCCGTTGCGTGCAGCGAGGTGCAGAGGAGTGTTACAGTTTGAGTCTGAGCCGTCTCTCCGATCTCCCTCTAACAGAGATGCAACCATATTACTGCTCAACAAAAGCTGCGCCACCTACAAAAGAGAAAGAGATCATTGGCATATTTTGCACCAGTGTTGTTATTGTTAACTAAAACTATGAAAAATCTGTGTTTCAGTAATTGAAATTGAATAAAAACATAAATATTCGATTGAATATTAGAACTTAAACATTAGAAACGATGCCTTGGGAACTAATTGAAATGAGTAATGTGTAGTACTAAAGTGACTCAAGCTAAAACTGAAATAAAAACGAATTGAAGAGAGAGGAAGTATTTTTAAAATTACGAAAGCACATAACAAAATTACTAAAACTTAAACTAAAATTAAAATAAAAGCCAATTCAAATAGTATAACAGTGTATAAATAATTCTAAAATAACACTGTTTTGCACCAACAATACTTTATTGCATTTGATAAATTACTTAATTAGGCTACTCCATTACTACCACTATTTAATTTCATTCCTACAGCACAAGCAAACAAAATGTTAAACAAAACCATTCTTATGCAAACTGTAACAGAAACAGAATATGTGACCCTGGAGCACAAAAGCAGTCTTAAGTCGCTGGGGTATATTTGTAGCAATAGCCAACAATACATTGTATGGCTCAAAATTATAGATTTTTCTTTTATGCCAAAAATCATTAGGATATTAAGTAAAGATCATGTTCCATGAAGATATTTTGTAAATGTCCTACTGTAAATATATACAGATATATACAAAACTTAATTTTTTATTAGTAATATGCATTGCTAAGAACTTCATTTGGACAACTTTAAAGATGATTTTCTCAATATTTAGATTTTTTTGCACCCTCAGGTTCCAGATCTTCAAATAGTTGTATCTCGTCCAAATATTGTCCTATACTAACAAACCATACATCAATGGAAAGCTTATTTATTCAGCTTTCAGATGATGTATACATCTCAGATTATTGAATGAAAGTGTTGAGACTGAAAAGGAAAAGGCGGGAAGACGAGAGAGTTATGAAATCATCCACACACCCAGAGGGCTCTTGGGAAGGTGAGTGTTGGCTCTCAGAGGCCTCACAGGTGAGGATGAGGTCATACTAATGTGTCCCAGTGACCATTAACACCCAAAAGCATCTGGGCCACATGATGTGTGTCCACTGGAGTAGAGTCAGTAAAGCTGAGTAGACGCTTCAATTCATTTGCTACAGTTTGGAAGGCGAGCGTCAGACTTGCACTGGGGTTTGTGAAAAGATCAACTTTATGCAAAAAGGAAAAATGTTTTGCAGCAGCCAAACGTTGTGAGGCGAGCCAAGGTTGTGATGTCTGCCACTCTATCTAATGGTGGATAGAATGTCTTTAGAAAACTTTAAAAAAAAAAAATTTTATGTAATCATAAACATGATGACTCTTTATTGACCATGTATCGAAAGCAATCAAAGATCATGTTGAAGACAGCCTCACTGGTGTGCATTTTAAAGGCACACCCTAAGCAGGCAGTACTGAGTGGATTTCTTGCACGTCAGCACACATAGGGTGAGAAAGAAAGACATTATCCAGTTGCTTCAGCCGCACTCTGATACCTCAATACAGCAGCTGATTAAATACCACACATACGCACACTGCCATTAAAGTAACACCTCGAAAAGGCCTAAATACACAGCTGAAGTGAAATCACACACCACTGGGCATGTGTGCGCGAGAACACGTAAAACAAAGCAGCTACTGAAATCTGAGCTCTCATTCACTCGGTAAAATGAATGACACACAAAGACAGATGGGAAAACAAATCACAGTCAGGGCAGAAGAAAGAGAGATGAGAATTTTGGATGTTGAGGTAAAATATGACCTGGACATGTTCTTGTCAGATTTTGTGAGATTACCCACACATCAGATGTAATTTATGAGATCACTGTAACCATAGTGACAGTGACGCAATGAATGACATCTCACATGAAGAAATGAGCACAAACACACTCATACTGAAACACTGATAAGTCCCTACAGAGATGAGCTCACTGACCTTCACTCGGCCAAACTCACAGGCCAGATCCAGAGGAGTCTTCTTAGCCTTATTTAGAATGCACGGGTTCGACTGGTGCTGCAACAACATCTCAGACTGATAAACAGAGAGAGAGAGAGAAAGAAAGAATTGAAGAATATATATATATACCAACTTTGTTTGTCAAAATGTGACCCTGGAGCACAAAACCAGTCATAAGGGTCAATTTTTCGAAATTGAGAGCTATACATCATCTGAAAGCTGAATAAATAAGCTTTCCATTGATGTATGGTTTGCCCCAGCGACTTAAGACTGCTTTTGTGCTCCAGGGTCACATATATGTGACATGAGACCGAAAATAATTAGATTATCTCTGATCCATCACTAATACACACAAAAAGCCATCTGGGGTCACTTGTTAATGTTGCAATGCATATATCATATTTCTTTGCATTTCAATGAGGTTATGTCAGATGATTCACAGGTGATGTATGCAACAACACTTTCTCAAACAGGAATGTACTGGCCAGTCTCCCCAGGTTGCTTTTGGAACAACATTTTCAAACCGGCCCATTTAAGCCACAGTGCTAAACTGCTCTGCTCTTTGTTCAGGAGCATTTGTGACATGTTTGTTCACAGCAATCTGTTTTGAAGCATCTGAGTGTGGTCTAATGCAGTGGTTCCCAACCCTGGTCCTGGAGGCACCCCAACACTGCACATTTTGCATGTCTCCTTTCTCTGACACACCAATTTCAGGTCTTGGAGTCTCTACTAATGAGCTGATGATCTGAATCAGGTGTGTTTGATTAAGGAGACATGCAAAACATGCAGTGTTGGGGTGCCTCCAAGACCAGGGTTGGGAACCACAGATCTAATGGATACGCACCACCTCATAGTGTCCGTACTGAGCAGCCAGGTGCAGTGGAATCTGCCCGTCATGAGACGCGTTGTTAACGGCAGCCCCTGATCTCAGCAGCATGAGCACCGAGTCAGCTTTACTCTGCCATGCTGCGTAATGTAGCGGCCGCATGCCTGCAGAGCAAAACATGAATTAAATCTCTCACGCAGAGTTATGGAAGCGCTGTACAAGACTGAACAAAATGTAAGCATTGGCTCCATTTCAATGCATGAGTTAGAATGCAAATTAATGCCATCTTATGTTTCAAGAAATACTCTCTATGTTGGGTATATGATAACACGTTTAAATTCATATTATTCTGCATCCTGTTTACTACCTCAATACCAATGCATTTAAATTAAGAAATTGCTTAGGAATTTAATTCAAAGCAGTTGACGGTGATGAGTAAATGATGACCGAATTTAATTTTTTTTTGAGTGCAGAAAGAAAGAAAACAGAAAGAAAGACTGAGGTCTTGGATTAATATGCAAGTAAATCACAACCAGTTGATAGTTTTACTCAATGTAGAGCTGAAGGTAATGAGGAGGCAGTTCTAACCATTGCTATCCTTGATGTCCACAACAGCCTGAGCTTCCAACAGCAGAGAGAGCAACTCCGTAGTGCCCGTGAGAGCTGCATGATGCAACACTGAAAACCTGAGTGGGATACAAACAGAAAACTTTAAAGAGAATGGTGGAAAAAGCTACTTTTGACAACTAAAGAACAATGCTTCTGGGAAAGATGCAGGCTACAGCCAAATAAAGAAGCCGCTCGATAACTTTTATCGGCTTAATTTGATACCAGAGCACACAGTTACACTTTCACCATTCCCCACTTGAGGCCATGTGTGGTCATAAAGAGAATGGAAAAAGTGAAAACCCCAGTACATGTGAGATCGCCAACAAACCAAAGGCTTGTAAAAGTGCCTCGTATTGCTCAAGCTGTGGCACAATTAGAGACTAAAGTCTGAAATTAACAAGGTTTCATGAGGCGAATAAAAAAACACATAGGGCAATAAGGGGGAGATATATTCTTTTCAGTACAAGCTCAGACAACAAAAAAAACAGTGTCCCCTGGGCACAGACACCCTCGTATGGTCTGATGTTTACAGAAGTATGACAAATGAAAATGCTACTTGTCTGGGGTGGATGTATTACGTTAGGACATGCCAAAATCAAAGCAAGACCTCTCCCAGGTGAGTAACAGGCCTGTCTTCGAACACCCCCCTCAAATGCTTCAGACGTCCCAGACGTAAATCTCCTTCCAGAATTTTGTCTTAGTGAAGTTCTCACTGACAGCCATTGCTGCAAACATATCACTTTAGAAGAGGAAGCTGTCACTTGAGGTACAAGTGGCCCCATAAAGAACGAGCCAAGTTGCACTGTGGTGCTTTTTTGCCGCCATTACTTAAGCAATGACCATTTCATCAGGGTGCATGAAAGCATCCAGTAAAACTAAGACAACAACTCTTTTATCTTATGTATGAGGGGTAAACCTAGTAAGCTGCCTTGCTATCAGTTACCAACACTTAGGGTAAATTTCTGGAATTTTTTTGCAACCCTGCCTACACAACACAACTCTTGGCCTAATTTGCAGCCTGGACAAGTCAATGCTATTTGCCAAAAATCAGAGCCAGTCTGCAGATTTTGGGCAGTAAGAGACGAGTTGACAGAATTCATAGAAAACTGTGTAGTGTATGATAGCCACAAACATTTTTTTTTTTTTAGCTTCAGATTATGATTCCATCCAGTCGGAGGATATTAAACATGCTTTATATTTTCAGCCAGGCTTTCAGCATTCTACCAGAACCTCGTAATGGACCATTTTGGAACACTCTAGAAGTCTCAAGTTACAGCAGAGTTTGGTTTGTTTGCCATTGGGGATAGATGTTCCTTGCAGTGCATTCTGGGATTGCCTTCTTTGTGAAGAATAAATGCAGTGCTGCTTAAGAATTTGGTCAAAAAAAGGCATCTTAAAATGCAGAGAAATCATGCTTTTAATCTCTGGGAACAGTCATTTTGCCCTGAGTAGCTACGATGCCTTAAATAGCTGCCTATATTGGCAGCTCACAAGATTTTGGAAGTCTTGTGCAAGAAACAAATTTTAAATTTCTAGATGTCTGCAGTGTCAGTCTGGAAGCTTTGCCTAGTCCTGGATTTGAACCCACAACATGCCTGACTCGTCTTATCAAGAATCATGGTGTGATTTTGTGGTCTATTTTTTAGTGCAGGTATTTTGGCTCGACATTTTATCACATGAAAAGCAGAAGGTCAGATGCTTTTACTCAATCCATATGGGGTAAGCCAAAAGAGCTGTTCATTTCCTGAACCCATGACCTCAGACTATATTCTCAGAGCTGACTGCTGTGTCTATTAGATGTGAAATGGGACAACATAGACAAGTAGAGCGGAAATACATCAGACTGATAAATATGAAGGCTCGATTTGATTATTTTCATAAACATACTGAGACTCCAGCTGAGGGCAAACATTTTGCTGACCATGCATTTGAAGAGCTGGAACTGCAAGGTCTTCTAACCCTCGGAATCACAAGCTGGTGTCAAACTTTCCCATTGTGTTGAATCACACAGGACACAAAGTTTGCCATGCTTAGCAGAAGCGCTCTGATGTAAATCAGCTTGACGCGTAAGTGTCTTCACACTGGACGTTCTTGACACTCATGAGGAATGGCATGACAGCTGTGAAGGTCTGAACATGAATAATTCATTCGAAGGTTTAAGCTGAGGATGAAAGGGGTTGATGTGGCATAGTGGTTAAATCTCAGGACTAACCGATTCGATCACTGTAAGGTCCTTGCTCTGAAGAGACAATCCTTGTATCCCATGTTTTAAATTAGGACTTTGCACGAAAGTTCCAGAAATAAATTCCACTGGTCTTGGTAGTTTGCCAGTAAAAGATTCTATTAAAGTCAAATTAATTATACTCAATTACTACAAAAAAATCTCCAGAGTCGGAGAACATTCCATGGCACTACAACAAGAGGGCAGGTTAAGGCAAGAAATGGAGACTGCTGGAGGCTCCATGGCACAACATCACTTTTTTAACTCCCCAGAATCTGAGGGCAACGTCACCCTCACAACTGAGACATTTGTGTTTGAGGAGGTTAAAAGAGTCAGTTCAGGCCCTATCTGTGTGTTATGAGGCAGGCCCGCACAGGACCCACACAACTCATTTTTCCGCAGAGTTGAATCCCCCATCATGGGGGTCATTGGATAACAAGCATTTATTTGATAACACACTTTTATATGCATTCTACAGAAGTACATGGATGTCATCACAGTGCATGAAAAGTCTGCATATTCCATGTGGGTCTGGTTTTGAGGTGTGGGGCTCTTGGGTATGTGGTACAATCACTCGTCTGTGCTGTCTTTCTTTGTAGCTCTACCTGACCTGCTGATGGCCAGACCTCAAGCCCTGCGAGGGGATGCAGATGCTGAAAGAAACCTGTGTTGTGAAAGAGCTCTCTCTCTTGCGAAGGAGACTGTACTCTTCTCTTCAACACTTCTACACACACTTCCATCAGCTTTCTAGGAAAAAACTCTAAGAAACTGGGAGCTGTGAGGAGAGATGGATTGTTGTAAAGACATCTTGTTTCTTTATCCCTACACTGAACCTGGAAAGGACCCTAATTTAGCAGGGAACTGGGATAAAATTCACACTACCTCAATCATATCCAAATGCTGGACACTGATGATTTGGGGGCACATACTAGGGCTGTGCGATTAATTGATTTTAGTTTGCGATCCTTCATTTACACACACACACACACACACACACACACACACACACACACACACACACACACACACACACACAA